TTTTTTAGCTCCAGTGACTACAATGAAGCCAATAAAGCAAGAAATACTGATGTGGCAAAACAAGGCGGAAGTATTACAAAATAAAGTGAATGAGTTGGAAGCCTTGAACACCGAGCTTCGGCAGCAAGTAGTGGAGCTTTCAGCGCAGCAAAGTAACATCTCAACATATTCGTTGTATAATTTATATATTAATGCATATATTGTATATATTATAATAAATATATTAATATATCTTTTGTTGGATTTGATTGCTTCTGTTGTCCTCATTTGTAAGACGCTTTGATTAAAAGAGTATGATAAATGAGTAAATGTAAATATTAGATCATATAGATTAGATGTTAGTGTTTTTCATATTTTTTATTCTTAAAGCATATTTTGATCACTGTTTTGGGTAGTACACCTTCATTTCATTTTATGTATCATGCAATGACCGTAAAAGGAAATCACAATTTTATATTGCATTTGTAATGATTTTGATGCAGTATTTTGTTATATTTCTTCATTCAGATGACCTGATTCCTAGTACATCAGTGGTACGTGAAGAAACTGGTGCTGTTGACCTATCTAGTGATGGGAACACATCAACTGATGTAGAGTCATCAGTCACAGAAGATTCATGTGATGACTCTTCTGACTCTTCAAGTTCAAGTTCAGAAGAGACTCATCAAAGAAGAAAAACAAAGAAAAGCAAAACCAAGAAAAACAAAACCAAGAAACATAAGAAGAACAAGAAGAAGGGCAAGAAGAATGAATATGACAAGATAAAACGAGGTACATACAGTTGTCTTTTTATGGTTGTTTTTCTGTTTACATCGTAGTGAATGATAAGTTACTTAATATTTTTTACATTGTTTTTGCAATGCAGATACTTATTCTTCTATGACGGTGTTTTAGTGCCACGTTAACAAATTTCAAAATCTAACATTATGAGATTAAAGGGTTAGTACACCCCAAAAATAAATTGTTATTTTTGTTTTCTTTGCGCTCAAAAAGTATTCTCGTAGCTTTGCAAAACTGAAGTTGAACCACTGATGTCACATGGACTGTTTTACCGATGTATTTACTACGTTTCTGGACCTGTGAACATTTCAGTTGCGTTACTGTCTATGCAGGGTCAGATAGCTCTCTGATTTCATCAAAAATATTTGTGTTCCGAAGATGAACGAAGGTCTTACGGGTTTGCAACGACATGAGGGTGAGTAATTAATGACAGAATTTTTATTTTGGGGTGAACTATCCTTTTAAGGTCGCAATATTTTGAGAATAAAGTAGAAATATTTTGAGAATAAAGTCTAAGTTTTTCGAGAATAAAGTAGAAATTATGTGAATTAAATAGTAAAATGACTCAACGACTTGCTGCCACCTACTGGTAATTTTAGTCTCATTTTTAAAAGTATCATTCTATTTTTTTTCTAACATTTCATGTTTCTGTGTTCTAAATTTTTAATTTTAAATCTCATAATATGATTACCTATGCAGTTTGTAAGTGCAAATTATAATTAATTATACTTGTCTCTTAAAAAAACTCTTAGCCAATGTAACTTTTCAAAAAGCTGTGTATTCTGATACATACATTAATGTCTCTGGGCTATCGTTATAGCACGATGTAAACATGAAGGAACATCAGAAGGCATGAAAAAAAAAAACAGTACAGCCTAATGTAATGAAACAAATGTCTCATTGTAATCGGAAAGATGATTGATTCACATGCCGCTTAAACTGAGGCGAATACAGTGATCTTCCATGCTACATTAAAGAGTGTGAAAAACACATTATTGTAAGACACATCGTTTGCATTTCTCTATAAAACTGACAGAATTTGAAAGCTGAGACTTTGGAATTTTTCCTGGTGCTCCCAGTCCGGGCCATTTGCATGTGCAATAGGCTATAGAATGTATTCTCAAAATATTATAACTTTAATCTCATTATTGCTACGAAACAATTCTCATGATTTTGAATTTATTCTCAAAATATTCTGACTTTATTCTCATAATTTCAATTTTATTCTCGAAACACTTTGACTTTATTCTCAAAATATTTCAGCTTTACTCTCGTAATTTTGACTTTATTATATGCGCAGCCTTTCTAGGACACACACACGCATTTAGAACGATTATATGAGCAGATTGGTTAGCATTTAGCATGGTCTGCGGCAGACTTTACTAAGTGTCAAGGCGACAAAATTCAATAAACAAGAAGTTAATATTAAGTGATTTAAATCATAAAATTGTGCGGGTATGATGGCTATACTGCTTCATTACTGCTTCAGCTAACGTTACCCCAAACTTTGCATGCCGTAGTTCACACAGGACTGGCGGAGAATGTGCATTGATAAACCTTTATTATTTACGTTACATAGTTTATTTTGATAGGTAGTTTGGTAGTGTAGTAGTAGTACTTTGTAGTGTTAAGGGAAAGCACTTTCGCAGCGCGTTAGTGTTGTCAAACTAGAGAAAGACAGTCTTTTCTGCCACAATAAATCACTATTTTTTCTGCACTAAACAAGTGAATTTTGCCAAGATATTTTCAGTGATGATAGACAATATGTTACAGAATAATAATTTAATGAAAACTCAATTTTGACAAAAAAATAAAAATAATAAAAAATCAAGCTATGTCCCAGTGCGACATCCGATGGGTTTTCCTAGGTCGCATCACATTTGTATTAGTCAAGATAAATTTGTGCATGAAAAGAAAGTAATTTAAGTAAACCACCAATTAGGTTTAGGGTAATTCATATGTTCAGTGATTGAACTCACTAGGTTATGCAGTAGTACACTGAAAAGTACTGACAGGTTTCCTGTCAAAACATATACTTTCTGTATAAGGAGTTTGCTTAAGCAGATGGTCTCAAGAGCAGCATACTTTTTTTACTCTTAGTACCCCAAAATATGTTTACAAATTGATAAGATACTTTTTAACTAGTCTGGAAACAAGAGCAGCATTCTTTTTTTTTTTTTTTTTTTACTCTTAGTACCCCAAAATATGTTTACAAATTGATAAGATACTTTTTAACTAGTCTGGAAAAATAAACCACACAAAATTAAGAAAAATATCCTTGTCAATAAATTATTTGAAGGCAGGATAAATGTTCTTGACTTTTAAAATGCACTTGGCTTAAAACATTTTTATAAAAGACAGAGAAACACATGGCCCTATATTTTTTTAATAAATTGGTTGGGAGAATATCTTGTCATTGAGGTATTCATTTTAGTTTGATTGTTTTTTAGCTAAGCCGCCGTCTTGTCAATTTGGGGACGCACCTGCCCATGACCCAAGTGGAAGCCCAGATACCGTACCTCCACCCGCCAATTGCACACTTCCGCGGGTTCGCCGTGAGTCCAGCCACCCTCAGGGCCCTCAGGACCGCGCGCAGATGTTCCATATGCCGCTGCCAATCATTACTGTGTATAATAATGTCGTCGAGATAGGCAGCGGCATATGTGGCCGGAGGATCTTGTCCATGAGACGCTGAAAGGTGGCGGGAGCCCCGAACAAGCCGAACGGAAGGGTAACGAATTGGTGTAACCCGAACGGCGTGGTGAAGGCTGTTTTTTCCTTGGATAATGGCGACAAGGGGATCTGCCAATACCCTTTCGTTAAATCCAGTGTCGAATAAAAGCGAGCCGAACCTAACCGATCAAGCAGCTCGTCAACTCGGGGCATTGGATAAGCGTCGAATTTCGACACAGCATTCATCTTTCTGTAATCCACACAGAACCGGACGGAGCCATCTGTTTTAGGCACTAAAACTATCGGGCTGGCCCAGTTGCTATGCGATTCTTCTATTACTCCCAGCCCTAGCATGGCCGTTAATTCATCCTGCACCACTTTTTTCTTGTGTTCCGGTAACCGATAGGGGCGGCTGCGCGCCACCTGCCCGCGGCGAGGGAGCCGCGGCATCGGCGCTCTCCGACACGCCCCCTCGGGTCCCCTGGAAGACCCCACCCCGTGGTGCGGGTCGGGGGGGTTCCTTACTCCGCGACCTGGGAGTAGGAATAGGGCGAGAGAGAGATGGAAGGAAAGGGGGGGAGGAGAGAGAGAGAGAGATTAAAAGGGGGCTCGCCAACCCCCGGGCACGCCACCAGATGATCTTCAGCCAGCTGGATGGCCGGCGACAGCGACGTCGGGCGGTGTCACTGGACCCACTCGGCTCTGGACCAACAGCCGGAACCGATCCTCCTGCTCCAGCTTGAGGTCCATCAGCGCCTGGTGTTGGGTTTGGTGAAGCCCGGGGAGTGACTTCACGAGCTCCGCAAGTGGCGTGGGCTGTGCTGGCTGCATGGCGGCGTGCCGGCTTCCTCGTCCCGGGTTTCGGCACCAGTGTAGCAAGGTTTTCAGTTCGGGAAGGAGGACGAGGAAGTCAGGGGTGGCGAGTAGACCTTTTTATTGGTCGTCACAAACAACATATAACAACGTGTGCGCTTCTTGGGTTTCCCAGTCAGGTGTCGCACACTCTCCTGTCTCTCTCCCCACTCCCAGGTCGGCGGGCGCTTATCTCTCGTCTCCCCGCCAATCACTGGAATTGCAAACAGGTGTTAATCATTATTCACTTGACCTCCTTATCACCGCTCGTCTCCCAACTCGCTCTCCCGCTGCAGCCTTTCGCCTTCCCTCGCCACACTGACCAAATGTTTAATAGATGCTTACATGTTATAGACATTGTAATGAATGCTACAGAACGTTTAATAGACAATCTACAGATACTACCCTGATGAGAGTAAGTAGATATGCACTTGCAAAGTAACTTATAGTCAACAGACTATCTATAGGGGGACCATCAAAATAAAGTGTTACTGTCTTCCAACGCCGTCGCCGCGGCGAGCCCACAGAATTCCCGGGCGTACTCAATGAAAGGGATATTCCTGCGGGTTAGAACTGAGCGGCTATTTCCATGGCCACAGGGAGAAACAGGAAGACAAAAGACTTTCAAAACACGGAAAAGAAAACGGTGAGAAGGGGTGCTGCTTACGCTATTGTTTTGTGGGTCCGGTATTCTGTCATGATTCGCTGCTACTGTGTCGGATATGAAGGAGCACGGAGACGAAGGAGATTAACCATCATCAGTCTTTATTCATCCAAATAAAGAGGTACACGGAACAGGCAGGAACACCCACGTAGCACGAAGGGTAGACGTACAATACCGGACGCTAGACACGGAAAAACACAGGGCTTTGTTTTCTTAAGTACTTAGAAACTAATTTGGACACTAGGTCATGGGGAGAACATGGGGAGAAAAACACAAGACACGGGAACACAGGACTGACACTTCCGAACTTTGTTAATAAAACATCATTTAAAATGCTATTTTAAAAAACTGTAGTGCACTTTAATTAAAACTCCAGTACACTTCTGTACACTGGAGTAAAACGTATTATCACATGTCTACTTCAAATTTCTTTAAAGAAAATTTGTTTGAAAAGAACTATTATTTTTATGGATTGGCCATTATTTAGTGCTATAAACACATGTAATGTCTGTTTCATTCATACTGGAAGCCGGAGCACACCAGAGCGCAGAAAATCTACATATGCATCATAGAAGTAATAGAACCAATGATGCTCCAGGAAATCCCTAATATGGATAAAGGTATCCAACTATCACTGTAGCTGAATTAAAACATAGAAACGCTTTAAATGATGAAACATGAAGACAATAAACCAGGGGTGTCCAAACTCTGTCTTAGAAGGC